TCTCTCTCTCTCTCTCTCTCTCTCTCTCTCTCTCAAATAAATAAAAAAATAAAAAAAAACATTTGAGAATTTAAAAAAAAAAAAAACAATCAGAATGGAAGATGCTTGCATGAGCAACACCTACCTGACTGTACATAATTTCTTGCTGTTTTAAGGTTTCAAAATCCAGTTTATGTAACTGATTGTTGAGATGCTTCAGAGTGGAACGGGTTCCTTCAATTTCTGACACAAGAGCTTTTTCTTTCATCTTCTCAGTCTGTAACTCCTGAATTTTCTTAAAAAACACATCTTTCACTATGTTCAATTGAACTTCCACTTCCTGATAATAAGAATTACAGTTTTTAAGAAAATTATAGTATCTTAAAATTTTTTATTTACATGAACATTGTAATTTAGGAGCTCATAAACAAATGAGCCCCTCTCATCAACACTATAACCCTTGATAACATAAACCCTTTGTCACAATTTCAACCAATTCTCAGCACGTCTTATAGTCCATTCTAGTAGACTAGAGTAGCGGTTTTCTATTCCTGCTATCCAGCACCTTGACCTGTCATCTTAATTCCATTCCACATTTCCCTAGCTCAGAACTAGGCCACTCCACTGGTTCCTGGGGGAGTGGTGGAAGAAGAGGCCACTGAGACAAACCACTTGCAACTTCACAAAGTTGTCTGAAGTCCTGCAGGTGTAACAGTGGAGAAACTACATCACCCATGCTCCATCTCCTTTCAAGTACTGTCAAGTGACAATCAGGTTTAAACCATCAGTTCTCCAATGGATAAGAGGGTAAGGAGAAAATATGAACTGAATGGTATAAACAATCCCACTATGGCCCGCTTCAGGCTACTACATGATTCTGCTAAATGCAGAACTGGGAAAAGATACACAAGAGAAGACCATTCTGCAGTATTTCCAATGCACAGACACGAGGGACGTTAAACCACTTTATCATGAAGAGCCCACGCAGTAGTTAACTGTACAAACTAACCTGGAAATGATGAATGTTTCACTTTTATTACTTTTGTTTTGGATATAATTAAATTGGAAGCCTCCATCATATGACTTTTTAATAGTAACTGTGGTAAGCAGCCCACCACAGTGTCCTGAAAATTTAACTCCTAGCTTTCGTGAGCCATAATGGGTGGGCCCGGGACCCTGCTGGCACTGCTCAGCACTCCCATTTTGCCTCTCGTTGGTCTCAGTACCACGTGCAGCCTTCTGGAAAAGAGGGACAAACCCCAATTCCCACTGCCTCCCCACCAAGGCAGATGTATCTTGACTTGGCGGCTTCACGACCACTATATTCTAGATTTCCAGTTACCCCAGTCAATTGACAGTTAATATTTTAAATGTTAAAATGACTTAATTCTAAGTTATGACACCCAAATAAGCATATTTTTTCTTTCCCAACCAGTGGAGTTCAGCATTAAACAAAAGAAGTTTGCAACTAATATTTAAACCTTTACAAAGCAAGAAATATCTGTATTCAGTGCATCATTGTCTTTCATGAAATAGACAATTGCCACTGAGTTTAAGACCTTCTACAAGATGGCTGAGTAGTTGTAGAGTCAGTGTTTGGTCATAGTAAGAGTCCATCCAAAAAAGATACGGCTGACTTTTTTCCAGTCGAACAAAATCAACAGCAACAAAGCCAAGATGATGAACACAACCCTGCTGCATTCAGTACCAGCACAGTACCAGCTCTCAATATATTTTCTAATTAAGCTAATTTTTTTCAAAAGTTAAGAATCTTTTATTCTCTGTGATCAGAAAGTCTAATTGATATGACTCTCAGTCTTTACTGGTTTCTAGTAAGTTTTAATGTGCCATAGACCAGCGTGCTCTCAGGGAAAAAACACAACTTTTAAGGAAATGCAAGATTTGGACTCAGGTAGGAAGTGCTGCATGACTTCATTACTCAGGAATTTTAACAGCATTCTGAGGAAACTGAATTCTGTCCAGATAAAAATAGAGCCATAGTTCACATAAGTTTGATAAAATATTCATGGATTTTGTTCACATCTGAAGTTACTCCTTCTTCTTTCTCCTCTGTCTCCCCAAACAGAGTAAAAGCAAGATGTACTGCCTACCATAATATGTCACACAGAGAAGTCACTTAGAAGTTTTCAAGGAGGAAATGGTGAACCAGCCTTATCTAGTTTCCCAAAAATTTGCTTTAATGGAACCATTCCACCAGAGCTTGGGCTGCCAGGCTAATTAGTAAAGTGACATCCTTGAGTCTATTTGTGAAAACATGGTGCCAGATGGTAAGGTAAGATGTTAAGGATACAACGGATGAAACACGGACAATGAATATGGTGGTACTGGGGACTGAACTCAGGGCCTTCACACTGAGTGATATACCCACAGGCCCTTTCTGATTTATTTTTAGATAGAGTCTTGCTAAAACAATGGAGTTCCCCAGGCTGGACTGGAACTTGAGATTTTCCTACCTTGACCTTCCACAACAGAAATTAATCATGAAACAAAATAAAATGATAATCAGGTGAAAGTCAGTTGTACAACAAGGTCAGTTTTCAAGATATCTATGTGGTGCAGCCATAGACACACGGGTAGCAGGGACCCAGACATGGTGGTCATTGTAAAGGAGCAAAATCCAGGGCAAAGTGCAAAGATGGCAAAGTTAAATGATAAAAATACAAAGCAGCTCTTAGAAACTTTTAGTCCTCTGGTTAGTAGGGGCTGATGAATTAGGCTTTCAGGAGTCAATTCACTTCTGGCTAGTTTGCTATAAGTTTCAAAACTTAAATGTACACTCTACCTTCACACTCTTTTCCTCTTCCTTTAGCATATCTTCCAGATTGGTGGCTTTCTCTTCCACAGACATGGTTTTCTCAGTTATCTGACTCAATTTTTTTCTAATGATATGATTATGACTTTTGAATTTTTGTAACCTAAATAAGGAAAAGATAGAAAGCATGCCTAGAAGCTGTTCAATGCAAACAAATGAGCGTTTATCATAAGATGTTGACATTAATAGGTCTATTTTGCTATGAAGCTTTTTTCTTATCATTTTACATATACATATATATATATATACATATATATATATATACTATAAAAATATTTCTCTTGAATTTGTGATAGAAAGACAGGAAACTTTGAAGCTTAATAATGCAGTAGCTTTAATGCTGCAATTATTTCACAAGACATAGACCTACATATTACAATAATTTTCAAGGGTTAGTAAAAAAGTTAATTATTTAAATAGATTTTTCTTACCTTTCTCTTTCTTCAAGGCTATCTTTCTTTATTTTGGAAATATTTTTCCTTAATGCTTCTAAATCACTGGCAGTTCTATTCACAGTGGCTTTTAAAGAATCCAACTGTTTATTAGTTAAAGACAAAAATTACATGTTTACTCTACACAGTATAGTTGCATTACTGAGAACTTCTATTCTGCCCACTTTATGTTTTAACCTATGTTACATCCATAGAAACAGTAACTCTTTTTGTATTAATATTTACAGATCTTATTATTTATTGGCATATCAAATTTAAATGGCTTTTACAATATGAAAAGAACTAAAAGTAGTTATATATGTATATATATTAAAAAATAAATGCGACCTGTCCAATATCCTGAGACTGGCTCAAAAACACAAGATTCAAAACAAACTGATGTATTTGTATAAAATATTCAGGACAATCATAAGAAGGTTAGTTGGATTTGGAAAAATATCAAAATATTCTAACTCATCCTTTTTCTAACTAACACATAGCCTCTTATGACACACATTTTACAGTTAATCAAAATTATTAAAATAAATCTAAGTCATAAATTTTCTCCTTCAGAAGAACATTCACAAAAACTTAGACTCCACCCAAATAAATTAGAACTAACAAATCTGCTAAAGTTGTAGGAGACAAAATCAACACACAAAACCTAGTTCATTTTTATACACTAACAATGAATTTTTTAATAAAAAAAAGTTTTAAAATTCATCTGTAATAGCACAAAAAAAGAATAAAATACTTAGGTATAAATTAAACCAAGGAGATAAAAGACCTGTACACTGAAAATGAAAAAATATTCATGAAATAAATTACATAATACATAACGGAAAGATCTTTCACTTCATGGATTGGAAGAAATTATATTGTCAAAATGTTCATACCACCAAAATCTCTATAGAGTCAATCAATATTCCTATCAAAATATCCATACCAATCCCTACCAAAATTTTAATGTTATTCCTCACCGAAACAGAAAAAAAAGTGCTAAAAGGAGCTAAAGAAATCTGAAGCAAGGAAAACAAAGTTGTGCTGGGGAGATAGCTCAGTAGAATAAGCGCCTGCCTGGCAAGCGCAGTGTCCTGAGTTCAACCCCCGGTACCCCCGCCCAAAAAAAGTTGGAGCAATAATAATTCTTGACTTCAAACTACATTACAAAGTTATAGTAACCCCAAAAGTATGCAATTAGCATAAGAATAGATACACTGACTAATGGAACAGAAGAGAGACTGAATATAAATCTATACATATACACAGTCAACTAATTGTCAGAGAGATGCAAAACAAGCACAGTGGAGAAGGGGGAGATTCTTCCATAAATAGTTTTGGTAATAATGAATACCCACATGCAGAATGATCATAGGGCTTTTCTCTTTCTACATATATAAAACAACTTAAAATGGACCAAAGATCTTAAATGTAAAATCTGACACACAAAACTCCTAGAAAAAAGCATATGGGGAAAGGTCCTTGATACTGGTGTCCATAATAATTTTTTTGATGTCCCATAAAAAGTACAAACCTAAAAAATAACAATGAACAAGTGAGACTGTTCAAAAGTTTCTGTTCAGTAAAAATAAAAATCAAAATGAAAAGGCAACAGACAGAATGTGATAAAATATTTGCAAATTATCTGTCTGATAAGAGATTAACCTCCAAAATATATAAGGAATGCATACAACTCAATAATATAATAGCAATAACAATGATGACACAATTGAAAAATGGGTCTGAACATTTTTCCAAAGAAGACTGGCCAACAGGAATATGAGAAGATGCTCAAGATCACTATCAGGAATATACAAGTTGCACTACCATGCAATACACCCTGTAACTGTTAAAATGGCTATTATGAAAAAGAAAAACTGTAAGTTGGCAAACATGTAGAGAAAAGGGAACACTTTCATACTTTTGTCTGAAATGTAATGTCACAGCCATTATGCAAAACAGTATAGAAGCTCCTTAAGGAAAATAGAACTACCCTATAATCTAAAACTCCTTCTTCTGAATATATATCCAAAGGAAACAAAATCTGTATGCTGAAGAGCTCTCTAGACCCCCATGTTCTTTGCAACAGTTTTCACAATAGTCAAGGTACAGAAACTACCTAAGTGTTCATAAAAGATGCTGGAGGGGACAGAGGGACCAGGAGCATCCCACACAGCTGGTGGAAATGGAAACTACATCCACCAGGGGAGTGGTAGGAAAGGTCCCCAAGAAGCTCAGAATAAAAATACCATTTGATCCACCTGTACAACTCCTTAGTATATATCCAAAAGAACTACATACAACACGTGGTAGTAACCTGGCATATTCATACTTGTGACTGCACATTTCATAATAACAAAGCTATAGACAGCCTAGGTGGCCATCAACAGATGAATGGATAGAAAAATATGGCACTGATACACAGTGGAACATTATTCAACCATAAAAATAATAAAATCGGGCTGGTGAGATGGCTCAGTGGTCTAAAGCGCCTACTTAGAACAAGTTTAGCAAAGCACAGGGACCGCAGTTCAATCCCCCAGCACCACATGCCAGCCAGCCCGCCCCCTGGTGGCTGAGCTGGCCACACACACACACACACACACACACACACACACACAAATAAAATTAAAAAAATAATAACAATAATAATAAAATCATGTCAATTGCTAGAAAAAAAGATAGAACTGAAAATCATCATGCTAGGCAAAATAAGCCAGACTCAATTAAATATCACGTTTTAATATATCACATCTTATATAATCAATGTAAAAGAGAAAGAGACAATGAGAGAAAGAAGGAGGAAGGGGTGGAATGAGGGGAGAGAAAGAGAGAGGGAGAACGAGAACATTGGACTTCTAGAAATAAAGGATATCATCAGGGGAGGGAATAATAGAGATGAAAATAATGAAAAAATGTTACATACATTTACCAGTATACCAAAAAATTACTAATTTATATTATTGCATTATTAATTTTAATCACTGTATTACTAATATGTACTCATAAAATATTACATAGGAATACCAGTAGTACATTGACACAAAATGATGCTCTGACTATAGACATTCTTAAGCAAATGATGAAATTTTTAAAAAAAACACCAGAAGCAGAAGGCAGTTCCTTAAGGCAAGGCTTTGTGTTATTTTCATAATAATTCACCCCGAACTCACAGACCACTGTTCTTAGCTGATGTACCTCTTCCTTCAGCTGACTTCTAATGGTTTCATGATTTTGATAATCTGTTCTACATTTTAAAACTTTACGGTCAGCAGCAGAAATTTTTTTCTCATATTCTGTGTTATTCCCAATCTCATTTTCCAAAAACTTCATCTTTTCTTTAACCAAAATTTCTTTTTCTCTTTTTTCCTGTTTTACTCTTGTCAATGCCTAGAATGAAAACAAATATTTACTTAAATATTTGTTTAATATGAACAAACTAAAATCAAAAGGAATTTAGGTTTTGTTTTTTATTATTATATTCAATGTTTATTTAACATTCTTAAGAGAACACTTTTAAAAGACGGATTTGTATAAGAATAAAATAAAATATTAACACACCCCATACCAGTATTTATAAATTCATTGTTAAAGGTCTCTGTGCTGTCTTTCATCAATCTGAAACTTTGCTGAAGATATGAGAAAATCAATGGGCCTATATATACGAAGCGTAACATCTAAAAAAATTTAATAGCAATAAATATTTTTTACATAGCAACTTGGGTTTCCATGAGAGTTTCCAAATATTTTACAGATCAGTATTTTTCATCTTTCAAAAATAACATTTTAGTTATTGGTTCCATTAAGAATATCTTCCCTTGGATTTTTGGTAGTCTTAATGATCAATAAGTGGAATATACAATGAAATATGGAGAAAGAATTCTGGTAACAAAGGGATAATGAATTTCACCCAAGAGTGATCTAGAAAAGATTACCCAAGAGGCATCATTTGAGTGGGGACTACAAAAATGAATGGAGATATATGAGTGCTCCAATGTGGCTAAAGTGCAGATGTAACAAGGAACACAGAATTAAGAAAGAGTAGAGTAGAGATGAAGAGTATGAGAGTGGAAAGGTAGAATTTAAGGCCAATTTGTGATGAAATTCAAATGCCATGGTCAACTTTTAAGCCATGTGACATGAGAAGATATTTTAATGCTGGGGAACAAAAAAAAAGCAAAACAAAACAAAACAAAAAACAGTCAAATGAGTTTTTTTTTCAAATAATTTTATTGAGAAACAAATAGCAATGAGACAATTTTGAAACCAATTAGTAGGAGAGTTTCAATAATTAATATGTTGCATATTGTATCTTCTTAGTGGTTATTCATAGTACAAGATTCTGACTTAATATCCTATCAAACACTATTAGTACAAATCTTTCTTCTCATTGAATTAAGAGAAAGTAGCTGTATACCTATCTTAACTATTTTGTATATACAGATACAAAATGATCATTCATTTGTATCCCCTTTTTTTAATTTTTTCAGGGAAGGGTATTTCATTGTCATTTAAATATTGTAGGGGGCTGGTGAGATGGCTCAGTGGTCTAAAGCACCTACTTAGAACAAGCTAAGCTAAACAAAGCACAGGGACCGCGGTTCAATCCCCCAGCACCACATGCCAGCCAGCCCCGCCCCCTGGTGGGCTGAGCTGGCCACACACAAAAAATAAATAAATAAATAAACAAACAAACAAACAAATAAATAAAATTTAAAAAAAATAAATATTGTAGGTGTATGAATTCAGCAAAATATCCCAATATAGTCCAGTAGTCCATAATAGTAGTGGGTTAACCACAGGACTGGCAATGTCAGAAGTCCTGCGCCCTTTACAGCCCAGCATACCAACATGGCTTTACCCTTATACCTCGTTTTTATACCTTTCTGATGGATGGTTAAGATCAAGATAAAGCAAGACCTATATAACAAGAAATGTACCTTTTGTATCTGATAAGGTCAGTCAAGTCTCCTCAGGATTTATCCTGAAACCAACCCTGTACTGCAATTTGTAGATCTTTTGTCAGCGTCAGCCATGTGGATGAGTCACGAACATTGCTTGACCAATTTCTGTGAAAGCCTGAGAGAATGTTTTCTCTCCATGTGACTCTCCTTAGGCACACTCTACATCATAGATCACATTCCTCTGTGGTCTCATAATCTCCTTGATCAGAAAATTTGGGACACAACTGAGTTACATGATGTTACAGTACAGGTTCTCCTATGTCCTGAGTCTTCACTGACCTTGAACAGCGAGGGCCAAAATGTTGGCTGTCCTTGCAGCCCTTCTTTTTCTCTAATTTTTTATCTGCAAACTTAGGTTATTAACCCTCCAGAAGAGAAGCTTATTATTACCCTACAACAAATGCAGTTGGACTTAACCTATCTGTCTGAATATCAAAAATCTTAGGCATAACATGGAACAGGTATTTTCCATCAAGTATTGATATGTTAAACTTTAAGTCTCTACAGAATATGAAGGAAAAAAATTTTAAAATATGAATAAATAATTACATATTTTTAAATAGAAATTTAGAAACCTAACCATATACAGCATTATAGTAGGACAGTCCTGTGAAATTTTTTTTCTTGATTCTTGTTTTCATTTATTATCTTTTTTAAAAAAACAAACATTTACTTGAGAAACAATATGGCAATAATTGGTATGTCATGACAAACAGTACACATTTAGAAGACCAGAATGACAAGCATTGCAAGCATGACCCTACTATTACACACTGTCTTCAGTGCAATTGCTTAGTTCACAGGTATCAGCATATATAGTTAGTCACGGTGAGAATCCTACCAATTAACTGTTATTTTCAAAAACCTGCCAATTGGGGGGCCTGCCCCTTAGCTCAGTTCTTTAAGTGGCTGCTTCAACAAAGCGGTCAGCCTCAGGTTGCTGTGGTTGGATCCCCAGAATTCAAGCCAGCCAAACCTGCCCTGAAGGCATTCGGAGCCAGCCAGGAAAAACAAAACAAAAACCTGCTGATATTTCTCAGGATCATTGCCTTACCCATCTTGTGCACATAAATGTATGGCTTTGCTCCGGCCATGTTTGCTAGCTTTTCTCCTTGTCCAAATGTGGTTTTTCAAGTAATGTAAAGGCAACAGACTCAATAAATTACAGAGAAAATTACCCTAAAATGTATTTCTTCTAAGTTTTCCAAAAGGGGTCTTACCAAACAATCCTAGAAGCCTGGAGGAGTTAAGAATTCTGAAATCAGTAAGTTTGTGAAATCCTGTAATACTATACATATTAACCTATTAAATATATGTGTTATGCTTTGTCCCCCAAAGCTTCATGCTGTGATGGGTGGGGCTTCTAGAGTTTATAATTAATTCATGTTCCAATGCTGGGATTATAGCAGGGAGTGTTACAGCCAGCATGGGACAGATGCCCTGAAAGCAACACAAGGAAGGGAGAGAGGTTTGCTCTCTGCCTCTGCCCCTGCCGCTGTTCCATGCTGCAGCCGCTGCTTCGGCGAGTATGGACTGAACCGTGTGAGGGAAATAAATCTTTCCTTTCTTAATTTTGTGTGTCAGGTATTTTGTCCCAGCAAGAGACAAGTAACAGAGAAAAGGAACCGAGACAGCATGTATATCTGAGATATAATATATTTTTAAAACACATTTTTCATTGCTTAATGTACTATTCCTATATACTGTCTACAAAACAACATGTCAGGCTAGGGAGATGGCTCAGAAGAAAAAGCACTTCCCAGGCAAGCACAAGGGCCTGAGTTCAATCCCTGGTTCAAAAAAAAAAAAAGTCTATAATGACAATAATAGGAATCCATAACGTTATTTGTGCTCACTCAGCTAAAAGCATGTCAAAATCTTCTAGGTTTAAATATATCCAATGACCATTCTAAAGTTTCTTGCATTACACTGATTTCTCTACCACTTGAGCAGATGCTTTCATACCTACTGTAACATTCCTAGTTCTTAAAAGTATTATTCATGGCTAAGTTTTCACATAGTTAATGCTTCCAGGCAATATCCCAACATGTCTACCATGGAATAAAAGCACAGCAGAAAAATCTTTTCCCTTTCTAAGTACTATTTCTTTCAGGGAGCCAATTTCAGGATCACATGGCAAGGCTTTCCAAGAAGGCATTAGGAAATAGGCATTGTTTTCAAGCAAGAGAGACTAAAAAAAAAAAAAGCACCATTTCACTGATACGGGATTAAAACATAACATCCTAAAATATGCCATTTTAACATATTGACCACTTTGAGTTCAAAGCACTTGAAAAATAGCAGATCCCAAGCAAGGCACTCTGACCTCTCTCTCCCCCAAAATACAAGAGATAAAACCCTATCTCAAAGGTATCTTCCCAATGCCAAGAGAAAGAAAAATATTCTTATCACCAAAGTCAAGGAGTTAAGACCAGTAGAAATCTGTACAAATAAACCTTGTTAAACTACCCCCTACCTGCCTAATGACTCTCCCACCACTGCTACTCTTTGTTCAAACTTGAATATAAGCACTCAGCCCTAGTCACTTATTTCTTTGAATTGTCATTTTTCTTATGAAAGCTCCTAGGACATGTAAATAAAATGTATATGCTTTCTTCTGTTAACCTATTTTATGTTAGTCCTAGCCAGAAACCTTAAGATGGCAGAGCAATTTTACCTTCCTACACAGACTAAATATTCTAGTGGTGGGAATGAGCTGCCCTTCACTCACAAGACCTGATTTATATCTCTTCTCAGCTCTGCGTTCAGCGGAATCATGTTGGCATAGAAGTGGTGCCGTCATAGAAATGCTTAAGTCAGGAATAAGTTTTGTTATATTTTGTTTTGTTTTCAGGAAGCAGATGTCAAGCTGTAAATAAGAAACATTATAAATAGGTCCAGACAGCTATTATTGGTGTATTCTGCCAAATCCATAGGTCAAGTCAGTCAGTAGTGAGTTTGCATGAAAATATTAACTGTGGATCAATAATCTTGAAACAGACACACTTGATTTACATAGAGAAAACTCTGATACTTTTAATTTACAAATTCTTGATATTTGAAAGCAATAAGAAATTTAAAAATAGATACCATTATCATCATTAAGATTTGAGAGGATGTCTTAGGAAAACTAGTTTATCCCTCCTAGGGAGTTATTCCTTATTTTTCAGTAAAATACTGTCTCTTGCAGATATTGATAATAAAATAATCACAAGTAAGCCATATTTAACCACTGGAATGCTAATATTCCAGTAGTCTGGGCTGGCTGCCTATTTGTGGAGTAAATTCAAAATGGAATTTAACACATCATCTCACTTTCTTTCCTCTTCAACCTCTTCATCCCAATCCCTCCCAACCCTTCCACTTTCACTCATCAATATTTCCTTCCTTAGGACCATTTTGTGTTTGTATATACAGAATAATTGGGATAGATATACAGCTACTTTCACTTAATTCAATGAGAAGAAAGATTTGTAGTAACAGTGTTTGGACAGAATATCCTGCCTGCTTCTTGTACTATGGATAACCACTAAGAAGATAACAATGTACAATGTATTAATTATTAAAAATGTCCTATTAATCAGCTTTGAAACTATCTAGATATTTGTTTCTCAATAGAACAAAAAAAAAATATTTCCTTCCTTCATGGTTTCCCAAAACCATTCTGTCACATCACCCCTAAAAGTAGCAAGCAATGGCAGTAGGCCTGCATCACCAGTTGACCAGTGCACTCTGCACCTCCCCTTTGGATTTTCTACATCAGTGGTGCCCCCGCTTCAACAGTAAAACTTTGTTGGCCACCTGGGTTCCTGGTCTGACTCTCCCACCTCATTTCTTGGTTATCTTCCAGGGACCATTTCCCTAAGCGTACGTGTTAACTCTCAGGCACCACTGACAACACACTGGATTTATGGCAGTAATATCTGCTTCACAATTAACAGCTGACAGGATCCAGTCTATGACTGCTGTAATACTGTAAGCAAATAATCTTCCTAAAATCACTTTCCTAAACAGATATAGGGTCAGCACTGCAAAAGATTTAGCAAAACTATCAAAGTCTTCTGCAAAAGTGACTTTCAGCCATGAGTGTGATTTACATTTGGAAGAATGAGTTAAACACCAAAGAGGCAAATAGATCAGAACATGATGGGGCGAACTACCTTACCAGGGCACAGTCGTCTATGTCTCGGTCCCGCTTCTGCATCTGCTCTATCGTGTTCTCCCACTGCTCAATGAGTGCTTGTCTTTCGTTATGAATCTTACGAAAATCTTGGGCTGCTTTATCCAGTTCCAACTGTCAAATAGAGAGCAAACAACATTTCTGAGAATGTAAATGCTTTTAAGAGCATCTACCTGAAAATTAAGAACTAAAATCTTCATGAACCAACCTGGGCACTGAGAGTCTCTGTAAGCTCATTGTCAAGAAGCTTTCGCTTCTGATTACATTCCAAGGTCAGCTTTTCTAACTTCAGGGTCAGTACCTATGAGATGGTCACAGGCAAAACATAATTATTATTTATAATTTAAAAGCTATAGATATCATGCCTAATACTATCATTATTCGTACGTATTTATATCTAAAACAACTGTAAAATAATGTTTTCCTTTTTTTTTTTTTTTTTTTTTTTTTTGGGAAGAGTCTACAGGGTGTTCAGGGTCTCACTACTATATCGGATTTGTAATGTTCTGCCTCATTACAGCCTCCCAAGAGCTGGGATAAAAGGCACATGCCACCACACCCTGTCTCAATTGGCATCTCAGCACACTCCGGGGTCAGGGCAGGCTCGGTAGGCTTGTGGATTGAAACCCCAAACCCTGAGCCTGCTTGCAGGTGCTTTAATCCACTGAGCTCTTCAGCCGGCCCTCCTTTTCTTTTAATCCTAAAGGGCTAATCTGTTTTCACAGAATTACATAAACTCCTAATTTTTTCTAAAATGATTTTAATATTTTCTAAAGGAAATTAGAAAAAAGAGTAATATGTCATTTGGAAATACCTACAATATAATTTGGTATTAAATCTCCCAGAAAAAAGCAGGTTTTGTATACTGACTCTGCTAGCAACACCAGATGTCAGTGGACCTTCAGGAATGGTTATAGCATCACTCAGCAGCACTATGGTCCCAAATTAGCGAATACCATATGTAATACTCAAACTAAAAATTAGACAAAATAGATAAAATATCAATAAATAGTGCTAGCACAAGTCTTTCTCTTCTCCAGGGTCAGGAAGACTTTCTCTTCTCCAAGCTGTCTAAGCACCTGCCTGGCAAGCACAAGGACCCAGGATCAATCCCCAGTACTACATGCCATGCCAGCCCCATGCCAAGCTGGCCACCAAACTGGGCGTGGTGGCACAGGCCTGTAATCCTAGTGCTGGGGAGGCTGAGACAGGAGGATCACGACAAGTCCAAGCTGTACAGCAAGACCCTGTACCAAATAAATAAATAAATAAATAAATAAATAAATAAATAAATAACTTTCTTTCTGAAATGCTTCCAAGAATCCTCTTAAATCAGAATAGCAATTACGATGTATCATTTCTCACCCTGATTTTATTATCGTCTTGTTGTGCATATTTCTCAAGAGTGAGGGCATCGCTGTCTTTATGAGCTGACTCTTCTAACCAAGCCTCCAATGCTTGCTGATCCCAGTTCATCTGACACTTCAAGCCATCCAACTTTTGAGTAGCTTTGAATATGCCATTCTAATTCCCAAGAAATGTGAGCGAAAAGAAAAATTGCAAAATATTATTTACTCTACAACCTCTAAGAAAACAATATTATGGACTAAAAAACATATTCAGAAGAAATCCTTCCCTGCCTTCAGACATTTATAGTATCCTGTTTCTAATTATTTAACTATTATCCTTGTATTTTAATTCCTTAATGGTAAAATAGAGAAGATCTGAATACACAAAGTTGAGGATAGTAGTTAACAAAAGTTTTCTTTAAAAGGCTTTAGACGATGTTATTCCACTAACGTCCCCCCAAATGCATATATATGCGGTCTTAGTTAGAATAATAGCCTCAAGATGCTAAAACTCACGTCAGGTTCCCTTCCTTCAGTCCCATTCCCTGTAAGAGGTCTCATGGATAGAAATGTTGGGAGCACTTCTAATTTTACAGTAGTGAAAGAAACAAAAATACTTCTATAAATTTAGTCATTTACTAAATCCAGATTCATAAAAGAACAATATATAAACAAATACAAATTAATAGGTATATAGTTCTATTGCATATATAAATATTACATGACATCACTATAAAATATGTATATGCGTGAATCTATATACTTCTGTATGTGCAGTTTTGTATACATGCCTATATAAAGAGAAGAATATACATCTGAAAAGAGCTCCCAAATCAAGTAACTGAAAACTAAAGAATGAGAAATAGGTTAAAGTAGTTTAACATTAAAGTCAGAAAGCTCAGAAATTAATATGAAATGTAGAAATTTTAAATGAATTGCAAAACTAAAATTGACTTTGCTGATAAGAATATAACACATTTCAACCAGGCCTAGTATTTTATATAACAGGCAGCCAGCATGATACTTTGAACATAGTAAGTCTCAGAAAATAAATGATGAATGAATAATGGGGGAGAATGTGGTACTTTAACATTGTTTCATTCAAATCACCACTCCATGTCATTTCATTGTTCAAGAAAACAATTTAAATAAATGTCAAGAAACTAATGAATGCCTTTCCTATACAGAAAAAAAAAAAAAAAGCTCATTTCACGTGCGAGAGGTACAGTCGTGTGAAGCGTCCAGTCACATACTTCCTTGTCAGTCTTCCGCTCTCGGATGGAAGCCATCTCATTTTCTAGCTGCAGTATCTCGCTCTTCACTCGTCCCAGTTCTCTTTCAGCAATGGCCTTAAAGTGTTCTTCACTTTCAATCTCATTCTCCCTTGCTTTGTAAAGGGACTAGAAAAGTACAGAAACAAAAGCTTTAAAACTTTTATCATTATGAAATATTTATATTAGTCCATTAGGCACCAAGAAGGTCACCAAGATGCATGGATGAACTCCACAGGGAGGACACCTTCACCCTGGACAGGGACCACAGTCTGGCTGACGTCGCTCACTCGGTGGTAAGGAAGTCAGCCCCGCCTGCCCAGAGGTACTAGAATCTGCAGTCTTCAGCTACGAGGTTGGTGCAGAAAAACTAAAGAAAACAAAGTTTATCTGGTGAGGCCTGAAAACTATAATTCATTACTTACCGATAAGTAAGAAATAATCAATTAAACATAACGGAAAAGGAACACACCCTGTTGATCACATATTTTAATTAAAAGGGAACTTTGAAATAATTACCTAAAAACTGACGGTGGACAATATTTCTTAAGAGTGTACTAGTAGACGATTTTTACCTTTGTTTTTATCAAATAAAAATTTCTTGCCAAGTGGTCTTAGAGTGCTCCTAAGTTAACACTCTCCGTATTAATTTCATACTAGTAGCATTAAAGCTGCTACTGTAGCACAAAGTGTATCACTTTTGTCTCTATGTAATCCAGGCTTGTTTATTCAAGTTTATTGGTACTGAGATACACCTACAGTGATTCTTTCTCTCAAGTCCCCAAGTCACTAGTTTAATAACTTGAGGAAAACTACTGTTCCAAACAGTTAGGGGTTTTATTTATTTATTTATTTATTTATTTATTTATTTGGTACAGGGTCCCTAGTGCTTGGATTACAGGTGTGATGGGGCCAGAACAGCATGTAGTACCAGGGACCGAACCCAGGTCCTTGTATTTGCCAGGCAGACAATTAGACTGCTATGCTATCTGCCCAATGCTAGTTGGGTTTTGTTGTTGTTACTGTTTTGTTCTACAGGAACTCAGGACCCTGAATTTGCCAGGCAGGCACTTATGCTGCTGAGCTATATCTCCAGTCCTGTTCCAAAGAGTTTTGTTTTGTTTTTTAATTAATTTATTTTATTTTATTTTCACGTATTTAGGGCAGGGTCTACAGGGTGTTCAGGGTCTCACTACATAGATAGGATTTGTAGTGATTCTCCTGTTTTCAGCCTCCTAAGTGCTTCGATTATGGGATTACTGGAACAGGCCACACCACTCAGTCTCAATTGCCTTCTCAGCATGCCCTGGGAGCGGAGCCGACACAGCAGGTCCGGGGCTCAAGCCCCTGCCCCTGGGTGACTTAAGCAGGTACTTTAATCTGCTGAGTTATCAGGCTGGTGCTCCAAATAGTTCTGTCCATTACGCAAACAAAGTATTGAAGATTCAGGAGTATTATTTTCAAACGTTTACTAAATATGTAACTTCCTAATAAGATTTGTAAACTATTAAACATACACTGAGTATGGACTGATTTTTAAAGGCATGGCTTTATTCATTTTTAAGATTTATAATTTTTTCTCAGAAAAGTAGATGAGCTTTTTTTAAATTGACAAGGAAGTCTAATGCTGATTTACCAAGTTAGCTGGTTTTCTGGGCATCAGGGAGTACATGTCTACACTTCAGCAGATTCTTTTCTGTTATTGTTTCTTTGTTTTTTTTATTGTATTTAGTACAGGGTCTACAGGGTCTCACTACACAGATCGGACTTGCAGTGATCCTCCCTGTTTTTCAACCTCCCAAGTACTGGGATTACAGGTACGTGCCACCATGCCCGGTTTCAATCACAGTCTCAGTGGGGGGCGAGGACGGTGAGGCCAGCAAGGCAAGCTGGGGCTTGAACACCCACCCTTGCCTCTACCTAGGCAGGTGTTTTAATCCGCTGAGCTATTTGGCTGACCCTTAAGCAAATTATTCTTAAAACAAAAGCTTAATTCCCTACTTCAAGTTTTAACTACAGTAGTGCTATGTCTAAAACACATTCTCAAGTTACCTTAAATAATCTACAAGATAATTTAACTTTTTAGTCTCATGATGATCTTTAAAATTTTCAATTTTTTAACTAAACTAACATAAACTAAACTAACATACCTTGCAGCCATAAAGGCCACTAAAGTGTGTTCAGCGGGTAGTTCTGAAAAACTGAAGATAAAAATCTATTCTGCATTATACTAGCTCTGTTTCTGCTTATAGCTGTCATTTCTCATGGCCATGACTATATCCTTCTTACATAAATCTGTTGCTTATTATTATATGAGATTGTTTGGATGATTTCTGCTTTAATACAGTTTTTGTTTAAAATTGATAGCAGTAATTTGTTCCTTAAATCTTTTTTTCTATTTACTTTAGCATTCATGGTTCTATTCACAACAGTTGGGTTATGCTATTTTCTATTATTTCTCTAACAAAAATCACAGACTGACTGTAAAATGTTTCATGACTACACGGATATAATCAATATCATTTTCAACACTGCCATACCTGTGTGAATGATAATTCTTGCTTAACATTTTTCAAGTGAGAATTCATTGCATTAACTCGATCTTCATAGTCACGTAACTGATCTTGCAAGTTTGATTTTTCACTCTGCAGCTTTGATAACTGTAAATAATAAATACTATGATCAACCAAAGCCCTATTAAATTTTACCATGTCAAAGGACCTAAAAATCAAAAGAAAATTAAATGTTCTGTCACAGTATGTTTAAGATATTGTAACAGGGGTGGGGAGATGGCTCAGTAGAATAAGTGCTTCCCTGGCAAGCGCAAGGGTCTGAGTTCAATCCCTGGTTCCGCAAAAAAAAAAAAAAAA